CACACTTGTGAGATGTTGCAAGCCGGCCATTTCTGTTTCAAATAGGATTCAGAGTCTGCAGAAGTACAGTGGTACCTTGGTTTACAACCATAATCCGTTCCGGGAGGTCCGTTTGTAAACCAAAACAGGATCTAACTCAAGGTGCGCTTTTGCCAATGGGGCCTCAAAAAAAAAAAATTTATTTGTTTGTAATCCAAAAAAATGGATTGCAATCCAAAATAAGTTTGCAAACCAGGGCATGCACTTCCGGATTTGACGTGTTTGTAATCCAAAACGTATGCAAACCAGACTGTTTGTAAACCAAGGCACCGCTGTATTTGAGAATTGCTCCACAAGTCTGAATTATTTGCACACACAAAAAGTGGCAAAGCTTTAGGAAGGGTGCCTTGTATGTCCCTCTCCTCTGCCTTCTAATGTTTAAAGTTTACATTGGCTCCATTAGGAGAATGCCATTATTTGGGGGCCTTCCCTCCTGGAAAGAGTTGTGCCTCTGGATAGAGGAGAGTTTTTATAGCTTGCTGGAAACTTCGCCGGGTCTCCTGTGTTGCTTCCACAAGGGTTGATGCTTTCTGCTCTGCTTCAGACAGAATGTCGCCGGCAAGGAGTAGGCTCGTCTTTCGCAGCTGTGTCGTTTGCAGGATTTGTGTCCACTTCGCAGATGAGACAGCGCAACTGTGAAAAAACAATTAAAGCACCATCGCCCAGTGACGGATAGGGAGGCCCTTTCACAGGGGTCGTTGCGAACAGGGCTAAGCAAGCTCAGCTTGGAGGCAGGTCGTGAAGTGAAAACACAGATGATTAACCAGAAATGCACTTTCTGGTAGGACGACGCTGTCAGTTCTCGAAAGAGATCTGTTTCTGTGGCGTGCAGTGAGCAAGGAGTTTCTGAGAATCCCAACTTCCATTAACCCTCATTTCCACCAAACACACCGAGAAGATCCCGGCCACTTTTGCTGCAAGGATAAAGTATGTCACAGGCTCTGGAACCAAAAATAGAGGGAAAGCAACAACAAAAGTTCCCAGACATGGGGGGCTGCCTTCAGATGTCTATGAAAAAGTCTATAGTTTAACTCTACAGTGGTACCCCGCAAGACGAATGCCTCGCAAGACGGAAAACCCGCAAGACGAAAGGGTTTTCTGTTTTGGAGGCGCTTCGCAAGACGAATTTCCCTATGGGCTTGCTTCGCAAGACGAAAGCCCATAGGGAAATCTCCGGGGACCTGTTTTAAATTGCTGGCGGTCGGGAGCAAAGACTTTCGCCCACAGCCGGCCTTCAGAAGAGGTCCTGGACCTCTTCTGAAGGCCGGCGGGGGGCAAAAGTCTTTGCTCCCCCCCACCTGCCTTCCCGGGACAGCGGAGACTTCTCCGCTGCCCCGGGCGATCTTAAAATGCTGGCGGGCGGGAGCGAACGCTTCGCTCCCGACCCCCAGCATTTTAAAATCTTTGGGCGAGTGTCTGCAAGCCTCGCGCGCCCGGCAGGAGGTCCCGCCGGGTGCGCGAGGCTTGGGGCGGCAGCCTGTCGCCCGAAGCACGGGAGCCCTCCGGAGGGCTTCCCCTGCTTCGGGCGAGTGTCTGCAAGCCTCGCGCGCCCGGCAGGAGGTCCCGCCGGGGTGCGCGAGGCTTGGGGCGGCAGCCTGTCGCCCGAAGCACGGGGAGCCCTCCGGAGGGCTTCCCCTGCTTCGGGCGAGTGTCAGCAAGCCTCGCGCGCCCGGCAGGAGGTCCTGCCGGCGTGCGCGAGGCTTGGGGCGGCAGCCTGTCGCCCGAAGCACGGGGAGCCCTTCGGAGAGCTCCCCTTGCTTTGGGCGAGAAGTCTCTGCTGCCCCGGGCGATCTTAAAATGTTGGCGGGCGGGAGCGAAGCGTTCGCTCCCGCCCCCCAGCATTTTAAAATCTCCCCGGGACAGCAGAGACTTCGCTCCCGCCCGCCAGCATTTTAAAATCGCCCCGGGACAGCAGGGGCTTTTAAAATGCTGGCGGTCGGCAGCAAAGCCCTCCTGTCCCCGGAGCTTGCAGGGCGGGAGGTGGGAAGAAGGGCTTTTTCCCCCACCGCCAGCCTTCAGAACAGTCTTCTGAAGGCTGGCAGTGGGAAAAAAGCCCTTGTCCCCCCCCCCCAGCCTTCAGAAGAGGTCGGGGGACAGACTGTCCCCGGACCTGGTCTGAAGGTGGTTTCCCTAGGAACGCATTAATTGATTTTCAATGCATTCCTATGGGAAACCGTGCATCGCAAGACGAAAAACTCGCAAGAAGAAAAAACTTGCGGAACGAATTAATTTCGTCTTGCGAGGCACCACTGTATATCATTTGTAGATTTGTGTGGAAGGAGCACGCACAGTGCTCCTAAACTTGGATCGTAGATTGCTGCAGTGTGGACTTTTTCTTTAAAATGGGGGGGGGGGGGTTGGCGATCCGCTTCCTTGACCCCAAACTGGTGACCTCCAGGCAATTTGGACCACCAATCACACCCGCCCCCAGCCCTCGTGGTGGGCACCAGGTTGCAGAAGGCTGCTGTAAAGGAAGCAGGTACCTATTTATCTGCTTGCACTGGTGTGCTTTCGAACTGCTGCAGGTTGGCAGAAGCTTTCTATGCAGGGATTCGAAAAGATGTAGATGATATTGTTAACTGCTGCTTGGGTTTCTAACCTGCGCTTCACAATAGCGCCCCGGGACTGGTTGCAGCGATGTGAAAGTGCAAGCATTAAAATTAATTAGAACAATTTGCCAAACAGAAGACTAGGGGAGGTCCTGTGTGTGTATGCATCAGGTGTCAAATGGTGAAGAGGCTTCAGCATATGACGGAAGCATATGACAGTGCAGGTACGAGGCACACCTGTGCCAGATTTATCTTAGGGCACTTCCGGAGGCGGCGCGAAACGGCAATGGCGGTCCTCTTCAGCTGCTGAAGGGGGGCTCCGCGGAAAAGGGTCGTGCGCTGCGGCACAGCGACGACCCATCCAGAAAAACCACGGGTAGAGTGAGCCCGTGGCCGTGGGATTCGGCGGGCACCAGGAGCGACCTCGGAAACGCAGAAGGGGACCCCGTAAGGGGCTCCGGAACGTGGAGGGGGTAGCGGTGCTGTGAATCCATCGCTCTTTCCGCGGAAGTGAAGCCGCGCGGCTGCTGCTGATGAGCGCTGACCTTTCTTCTTTGAACATTTGATCTGAAACAACTTACTCGTGAGTAAGAAATTTGAGACTCTATTTTGAGCAGTAATTTGTGAATTTCGGCTGAAAGCGGGAGACGCTAAAAAGGAAGTCAGTCTTCCGTCTCTGTTTAAAGTACTGAGCAAAGTCTTTTTAAAGCGGAAGCGTTGAAAGGAGTTCAAAAGAGTTGGAATTTACCTTGGCAAATTTGGACTTGATTGATTAAAGTTAAGGAAAAGTTAAAAC